TTAGGACCCATAGGAACCCATAGGGACCCATTGGGGTGCATTAGGACCCATACGGACCCATAGGGACCCATTGGGGTGCATTAGGACCCATAGGGACCCATTGGGGTGCATTAGGACCCATAGGAACCCATAGGGACCCATTGGGGTGCAGTAGCACCCATAGCGCCCCATAGGGCCCCATAGCGCCCCATAGGGACCCATAGCGCCCCATAGGGACCCCCCGTGCCCCATAGCGCCCCATAGGGCCCCCCCACCCCCACTCACCTCCCTCCTCTCCCGCCGGCGCCTCCTTTTTGGCGCGCTTCGGCATCGCTCAGGCCACGCCCCCTCCCCCCCCGGCTCCGCCCTCCTGTACGGCGGGAAAACCACCGGTTAACCCCTCCCCCTCCACCCATGCCCCAGCCAATCAGCTGCGAGCTTGGGTTCGAATCGTCCAATCAGCGCCCACCACCCCCCCAACGTCCAATCAGAGCCCGGGGAACCACGCCGAACCGGAGCCAATCGGAACCGCGCCAGGAGCGAACCGGAGCCAATCAGCGCCCGGCGTTTTAATCCCACCCCCTCCGTTCCCGTAGCCAATCAGCGCTCACCCGTTCCCGTCCCCCCCCCCCCCATCGGAACCAATCAGCGCCCGTTAAGTTCCGTTTCCCCCCCCCCCCCCCCACACCCACGTGTCCCGGAGCCAATCAGCTCCTCCAGCCCCGTTACCCCGCAGCCAATCAGCGCCCTCCGCTCGCCTCAACCGGAGCCAATCAGCGGCGGCGAGAGGAAGGTTCCGCGGCGGCGGCGGCGGAGGAAGAAGAAGAAGAAGGCGGGGCCGGAAGCGGAAGCGCCGTGACGTCACAAAGGGGGCGGGGCCAATGGGGAAGGCGGGGCCAATGGGGAAAGCGTCGCGGGCGGATTGACGTCATCAGCGCGCGCGCGGCGAGCGGGGCGAACGCGGCGGCGAGCGGCGGGAAACGGGGGTGTGTGTGTGTGTGACGTCATCACGCCGCCGACGCGACTCGTGACGTCATGCCGACGGTGCTGGGCCTGGAGGGCTCGGCCAATAAGGTCGGGGCGGGCGTGGTGCGCGATGGCGTCATCCTGAGCAGCCGGCGCGCCACCTACGTCACGCCGCCGGGGCAGGGTGAGCGGCGTGACGTCATCACGCACAACCCCTCCCCTTAAACCCCTCCCCTTTTCCCCCTTCTTGATGACGTCATCACGCACACCCCCCCTTAACCCCTCCCTTCCCCCCCTTCCGCGCGTGCTCACGTCATGCCCTTCCCCCCTTGATGACGTCATCACGCACAACCCCTCCCCTTTTCTCCGCGCGCGCTGACGTCATCCCTTCCCCCCTTGATGACGTCATCACGCACACCACCCCTCCCCCTTAAACCCCTCCCCTTTTCTCCGCGCGTGATGACGTCATCCCCTTCCCCCCATTCTTGATGACGTCATCACGCACACCCCTTAAACACCTCCCCTTTTCTAAACCCCTCCCCTCTCCCCCTTCTTGATGACGTCATCACGCACACCCCCCTTAAACCCCTCCCCTTTTCTCCGCGCGCTCTGACGTCATCCCCTTTTCCCCCCTTCTTGATGACGTCATCACGCACAGCCCCTCCCCCTTAAACCCCTCCCCTTTTCTCCTTGCGTGCTGACGTCATCCCCTTTCCCCCCTTCTTGATGACGTCACCCGCCTCGTCGACCAATGGCAGGCTTCGCCCCGGGCCCCGTGGGGCGTCACCACCAGGGGGCGCTCTTGGACCTCGTGACCGCCGCCATGGCCGACGCCGGAGCCGGGCCCCAGGACCTGGATGGGATCGCGTTCACCCGAGGTAATGGCGTGTCCTTAGCATGTCCTTAGCATGTTCTTAGCGTGTTCCACCCCACACACATAGATGGGGGTCCCATGGGTCACTCAGACGCTCCCCAGCCCCATAGGAGGCCTTTTGGAGCTCTTTGGGTCACATGTTGTTAGCATGTTGTTAGCATGTTCTTAGCGTGTTCCACCCCAAACACATAGATGGGGGTCCCATGGGAAACCCAGACCCTCTCCAGCCCCATAGGAACCCATTGGGAGGTGGTTTGGGTCACATGTTCTTAGCATGTTCTTAGCATGTTCTTAGCGTGTTCACTCCAAAACCCATAGATGGGGGTCCTATGGGTACCTGGTATCATGTCAGACCCTCCCCAGCCCCATAGGAACCCATTTGGAGCTCTTTGGGTCACATGTTCTTTGCATGTTCTTTGCATGTTCTTAGCATGTTCACCCCCAAACACATAGATGGGGGTCCCATGGGTCACTCAGACCCCCTCCAGCCCCATAGGAACCCATTGGGAGCTCTTTGGGTCACATGTCCTTAGCATGTCCTTAGCATGTCTAACCCCAAACCCATAGATGGGGGTCCCATGGGTCACTCAGACCCTCCCCAGCCCCATAGGAGCCCTTTTGGAGCTCTTTGGGTCACATGTTCTTAGCATGTTTTTAGCATGTTCTTAGCGTGTTCTTAGCGTGTGCACCCCCAAACACATAGATAGGGGTCCCATGGGTCACTCAGACCCTCCCCAGCCCCATAGGAACCCATTGGGAGGTGGTTTGGGTCACATGTTCTTAGCATGTTCTTAGCATGTTCTTAGCGTGTTCCACCCCAAACACATAGATAGGGGTCCCATGGGTCACTCAGACCCTCCCCAGCCCCATAGGAGCCCTTTTGGAGCTCTTTGGGTCACATGTTCTTAGCATGTTCTTAGCATGTTCTTAGCATGTTCAACCCCAAACACATAGATAGGAGTCCCATGGGAAACCCAGACCCTCTCCAGCCCTATAGGAACCCATTGGGAGCTCTTTGAGTCACATGTCCTTAGCATGTCCTTAGCATGTTCTTGGCATGTTCCCTGCACAGGCCCGGGCCTGGGGGCGCCGCTGGCGGTGGTGGCGGCCGTGGGGCGCACCCTGGCCCAGCTCTGGTCCCTGCCCTTGCTGGGGGTCAATCACTGTGTGGGGCACATCGAGATGGGGCGGCTGCTGGCGCCCGCCCGCGACCCCCTCGTGCTCTACGTCAGCGGAGGCAACACCCAGGTACGCGCTGTGGGGCGCTATGGGGTGGATATGGGGCGCTATGGGGTGGATATGGGGGGCTATGGGGTGGATATGGGGGCATATGGGGTGGATATGGGGGGATATGGGGGGTATGGGGTGTACGGGGGGTATAGGGGGCTATGGGGTGGATATGGGGTGCTATGGGGTGTCTATGGGGGTCTATGGGGTGCCATGGGGATATGGGTGCTATGGGGTGGGCTATGGGGCAGCTATGGGGTGGATATGGGGGGCTATGGGGTGGATATGGGGGGCTATGGGGTGGATATGGGGCACTATGGGGTGGATATGGGGGGCTATGGGGCAGATAGGGGGGGCTATGGGGTGGATATGGGGGGCTATGGGGTGGATATGGGGGCTATGGGGCAGATATCGGGCGCTAAGGTGGATATGGGGGGCTATGGGGTGGATATGGGGGGCTATGGGGTGGATATGGGGCGCTATGGGGTGGATATGGGGGGCTATGGGGTGGATATGGGGCGCTATGGGGTGGATATGGGGGGCTATGGGGTGGATATGGGGGGCTATGGGGTGGATATGGCTATGGGGGGGTAATGGGGTGCAATGGGGGGCTATGGGGTGGATATGGGGGGCTATGGGGTGGATATGGGTGCTATGGGGTGGATATGGGGGGCTATGGGGTGGATATGGGGGGCTATGGGGCGGATATGGGGGGCTATGGGGGGATATGGGGGGCTATGGGGTGGATATGGGGCTATGGGGTGGATATGGAGGCTATGGGGTGGATATGGGGGGCTATGGGGTGGATATGGGGGGCTATGGGGTGATATGGAGTGGATATGGGGGGCTATGGGGTGAATATGGGGGGCTATGGGGTGAATGGGGGGGCTATGGGGTGAATATGGGGGGCTATGGGGCGGATATGGGGGGCTATGGGGTGGGTTATGGGGGGCGCTATGGGGCGGCTATGGGGCAGGCTATGGGGGCGGATATGGGGGGCTATGGGGTGGATATGGGGGGCTATGGGGTGTCTGTGGGGGGCTGTGGGGGACTATGTTGTGCTGTGGGGTGAATATGAGCATGTGATAGCACGCGACAACATATGATAATATACAATAACAATAACATGCGGTAGCATGTGTCAACACGCGATAACACATGATAACACGTGATGACATACAGTAACATGCGATAGCACGTGACAACATGCAATACCACATGATAACACACGATAACACACAATAACACGTGATAACATACCATAGGATATGATAGCACGTGACAACATGTGATAACACGTGCCAACACGCGATAACACATAACACACGATAACATGTGATAACGCGATAACAACACGTGATAACATGCGATAACAACACGTGATAGCACACGATAGCATGTGATAGCACGCGATAACAAAACGCAATAACACGATAGCACGAGATAACACGCGATAACATGCAATAACAACACGTGATAACATGCAATAACACACGATAACACGCTATAACATCACGCAATACACGATAGCACGTGATAACAACACGTGATAACGTGATAACATGCGATAGCGCATGATAACACGCGATAATGTGATAGCATGCGATAGCAACATGTGCTAACATGCGCTAACACGCGATAACATGCAATAACAACATGTCATAACACGCAATAACATGCGATAACACGCGATAGCGCGCGATAAGAACACGTGATAACGCTATAACGCGGTAACACATGATAACAGGCAATAACATGCAATAACACGCGATAGCACGTGATAACACGATAGCAACACAATAACACGCGATAACACAATAGCACGCGATAACACGCGATAACCACGCGACAACACGTGATAACAACATGTGATAACAACACGCGATAACACGCAATAGCACGCGATAACAACACGCGATAACACACGATAACATGTGATAACGCGCGATAGCGCGCGATAACAACACGTGATAGCAGGCAATAACATGCAATAACACGCGATAGCACGTGATAACACGATAGCAACACAATAACGCAATAACACGATAGCACGCGATAACAACACGCGATAACAGCATGTGATAACACGCGATAACGCGATAGCATGCGATAACGCGATAACAACACGCGATAACGCAATAGCATGCGATAGCATGCAATAGCAAGCTATAACGTGATGACAACACGCGATAACACGCGATAACAACACGCGATAACGCGATAATGCGTGATGACAACACGCGATAGCACGCGATAACAACACGCGATAACAACACGCGATAACGCGACAACACGTGATAACACGCGATAACACACGACAACATGCGATAACACGCGACAACACGGGATAACAACACGGGATAATAAGACGTGATAACAACATGCGATAACGTGATAACACGCGATAACGCGATAGCACGCGATAACAACGCGATAACACGCGATAACATGCCATAGCACGCGATAACACGCGACAAAACACCACAACACGCGACATTTGTGCGTACGTGGTTGTGACATCACACATGACGTCACGCGATAACATGCGATAACACGTGATAACACGCGGCAACACGTGATAACATGCATTAACAAGCGATAACACGCGATAACAACACGCGATAACGCGATAGCACGCGATAACAACACGCGATAACGCGATAGCACGCGATAACACGCGATAACACGCGATAACACACCACAACACGCGACATTTGTGCGTGCGTGCTTGCGACATCACACATGACGTCACGCGTGACGTCACCACGTGTCCCCTTAGGTCATCGCCTTCTCCCGCCGTCGCTACCGCATCTTCGGGGAGACGCTGGACCTGGCGCTGGGCAACTGCCTGGACCGGCTGGCGCGGCTGCTACGGGTCAGTCCCTCATTGGCTGAGCCGCGCCGAGGACGAGCTCCCATTGGCTGAGCCGCGCCGGAGCCGAGCTCCCATTGGCTGAGCCGCGCCGGAGCGGAGACGGCGTTGTGGCGCCCCCTAGTGGGGAAAGGGGGGGGGGATGAGGTGACTCCGCCCCCTTCCGGCCACTGACTCCGCCCCCTTTTTCCTCTGGCCACGCCCCCTCCGCAGCTGCCCAATGACCCGAGCCCGGGATACAACGTGGAGGTGATGGCGAGGAGGTGAGGACCCCGGTAATAGACCCCAAACCCTGATAGTAGACCCCGAACCCCGTTAATAGACCCGAAACCCTGTTAATAAACCCCAAACCCCGTTAATAGACCCCAAACCCCGTTAATAGACCCGAAACCCCGTTACTAGACCCCAAACCCTGTTAGTAGACCCCAAACCCTGTTAGTAGACCCCGAACCCCGTTAATAGACCCTAAACCCTGTTAATAGACCCTAAACCCTGTTAATAGACCCCAAACCCCCTTAATAGACCCTAAACCCTGGTAGTAGACCCCAAACACTGTTAGTAGACCCTAAACCCCCTTAATAGACCCTAAACCCCTATAATAGACCCTAAACCCTGTTAGTAGACCCCAAACCCTGTTAATAGACCCCAAACCCCGTTAATAGACCCGAAACCCCGTTACTAGACCCCAAACCCTGTTAGTAGACCCCGAACCCCGTTACTAGACCCCAAACCCTGTTAGTAGACCCTAAGCCCTGTTAGTAGACCCCAAACCCCGTTAATAGACCCGAAACCCCGTTACTAGACCCTAAACCCTGTTAGTAGACCCCAAACCCTGTTAATAGACCCCAAACCCCATTAATAGACCCTAAACCCTGTTAGTAGACCCGAAACCCTGTTAGTAGACCCCAAAACCCGTTAATAGACCCCATACCCCATTACTAGACCCCAAACCCTGTTAGTAGACCCCAAACCCTGTTAATAGACCCCAAACCCTGTTAATAGACCCCAAACCCCGTTAATAGACCCTAAGCCCCCTTAATAGACCCTAAACCCCCTTAATAGACCCTAAACCCTGTTAGTAGACCCCAAACCCTGTTAGTAGACCCTAAACCCCCTTAATAGACCCTAAACCCTGTTAGTAGACCCCAAACCCTGTTAATAGACCCCAAATCCCGTTAATAGAGTCTAAACCCTCTTAGTAGACCCCAAACCCCGGTAGTAGACCCCAAACCCTGTTAGTAGACCCCGAACCCTGTTAGTAGACCCCAAACCCCGTTAATAGACCCTAAACCCTTTTAGTAGACCCTGAACCCCATTAATAGACCCTAAACCCTGTTAGTAGACCCCAAACCCTGTTAGTAGACCCCAAACCCCGTTAATAGACCCCATACCCCATTACTAGACCCCAAACCCTGTTAGTAGACCCCAAACCCCGTTAATAGACCCGAAACCCTGTTAATAGACCCCAAACCCCGTTAATAGATCCTAAACCCTGGTAGTACAACCCAAACCCTGTTAATAGACCCCAAACCCTGTTAGTAGACCCCAAACCCCGTTACTAGGCCCCAAACCCTGTTAGTAGACCCTAAACCCTGTTAGTAGACCCCAAGCCCTGTTAATAGACCCCAAACTCCATTAATAGACCCGAAACCCCGTTACTAGACCCCAAACCCTGTTAGTAGACCCCAAACCCTGTTAGTAGACCCTAAACCCCGGTAGTAGACCCCAAACCCTGTTAGTAGACCCTAAACCCCCTTAATAGACCCTAAACCCTGTTAGTAGACCCCAAACCCTGTTAATAGACCCTAAACCCCCTTAATAGACCCTAAACCCTGTTAGTAGACCCTAAACCCTGTTAGTAGACCCTAAACCCCCTTAATAGACCCTAAACCCTGTTAGTAGACCCTAAACCCCCTTAATAGACCCTAAACCCTGTTAGTAGACCCTAAACCCCCTTAATAGACCCTAAACCCTGTTAGTAGACCCTAAACCCCCTTAATAGACCCTAAACCCTGTTAGTAGACCCCAAACCCTGTTAGTAGACCCTAAACCCCCTTAATAGACCCTAAACCCTGTTAGTAGACCCAAGCCCTGTTAGTAGACCCTAAACGCCCTTAATAGACCCTAAACCTTGTTAGTAGACACTAAACCCCCTTAATAGACCCTAAACCCTGTTAGTAGACCCCAAACCCCCTTAATGGACCCTAAACCCTGTTAGTAGACCCAAGCCCTGTTGGTAGACCCTAAACTCCCTTAATAGACCCTAAACCCTGTTAGTAGACACTAAACCCCCTTAATAGACCCTAAACCCTGGTAGTAGACCCCAAACCCTGTTAGTAGACCCTAAACCCTCTTAATACACCCTAATCCCTGTTAGTAGACCCTAAACCCCCTTAATAGACCTTAAACCCTGTTAGTAGACTCTAAACCCCCTTAATGGACCCAAAACCCTGTTAGTAAACCCTAAACCCCGTTAATACACCCTAAACCCTGTTAGTAGACCCCAAACCCCGTTAATAGACTCTAAACTCTGTTTGTAGACCCCAAACCCCGGTAGTAGACCCCAAACCCTGTTAGTAGACCCCAAACCCTGTTAGTAGACCCTAAACCCCGGTAGTAGACCCCTAACCCTGTTAGTAGACCCTAAACCCCGGTAGGAGATCCCAAACCCTGTTAATAGACCCTAAACCCCAGTAATAGACCCTAAACCCAATAGACCCCCAAACACCCCTTAATAGACCCACCAAACCCCCTTTAATAGCCCCCAAACCCCTTTAATAGCCCCCAAACCCCTTTAATAGCCCCAAACCCCCTTTAATAGCCCCAAACCCCTTTAGTAGCCCCCAAACCCCTTTAATAGCCTCCAAACCCCCTTTAATAGCCCCAAACCCACTTTAACAGCCCCCAAACCCCTTTAACAGCCCCAAAACCCCCTTTAATAGACGCCAAACCCCTTCAATAGACCCCCAAACTCCTTTAATAGACCCCAAACCCCTTTAATAGCCCCCAAAATCCCTTTAATAGCACCCAAACCCCCTTAATAGCACCCAAACCCCCTTAATAGACCCAAACCCCTTTAATAGACACCCAAACCCCTTTAACAGCCCCCAAACCCCCTTTAATAGACCCCAAACCCCCTTAGTAGACCCAAAACCCCGTTAATAGAAGCAAAACCCGGTTATTAGACCTAAACCTCTTTAATAGACCACAAAACACTTTAATAGACCCCAAACCCTGTTAATAGACCCGAAACCCCTTTCATAAACCCAAAACCCCTTTAATAGACCCCAAAACTCCCTTGACAGCCCCAAACCCCTTTAATAGCTCCCAAACCCCCTTTAACAGCCCCAAAACCCCTTTAACAGCCCCCAAACCCCTTTAATACCCCCCAAACCCCTTTAACAGCCCTAAACCCCTTTAACAGCCCTAAACCCCTTTAACAGCCCCCAAACCCCTTTAACAGCCCCAAACCCCCTTAACAGCCCCCAAAACCCCTTTATCAGACCCCAAACCCCTTTAATAGCCCCCAAACCCCTTTAACAGCCCCAAACCCCCTTAACAGCCCCCAAAACCCCTTTATCAGACCCCAAAACCCCTTTAGCACCCCCCAACACCCCTTTAGCACCCCCCAAAACCCCGTTAGTGCCCCCAAAACCCCGTTAGTACCCCCGGAACCCCGTTAGTATCCCCTGTTGTGCTGCCCCCTAGTGGCCGCCGCCTGCTGGTGCTCCCCTACGTGGTCAAGGGCATGGACGTGTCCTTCTCCGGGCTGCTGGCCCGCCTCCAGGTGAGGGCGCTACTAACCGGGTTTTGGGGCTGTTAACCGGGTTTTGGGGTCTGTTAACCGGGTTTTGGGTCTCTTAAACGGGTTTTGGGGGGTGTTAAAGGGGTTTTGGGGGGTGTTAAAGGGGTTTGGGGGGTATTAAAGGGGTTTGGGGGCTGTTAAAGGGGTTTGGGGGGCTGCTGGCCCGCCTCCAGGTCAGCGGCTACTAACCGGGTTTGGGGTCTGTTAACCGGGTTTTGGGGTCTGTTAACGGGGTTTTGGGGCTACTAACGGGGTTTTGGGGCTGTTAAAGGGGTTTTGGGGGGTGTTAAAGGGGTTTTGGGGGGTGTTAAAGGGGTTTTGGGGGTATTAAAGGGGTTTGGGGGGCTGCTGGCCCGCCTCCAGGTGAGGGCGCTACTAACCGGGTTTTGGGGTTACTAACGGGGTTTTGGGGTCTGTTAAAGGGGTTTTGGGGCTGTTAAAGGGGTTTTGAGGTCTGTTAAAGGGGTTTGGGGGCTATTAAAGGGGTTTGGGGCTGTTAAAGGGGTTTGGGGCTGTTAAAGGGGTTTTGGGGTTACTAACCGGGTTTTGGGGTCTGTTAAAGGGGTTTTGGGGCTGTTAAAGGGGTTTTGGGGGGTATTAAAGGGGTTTTGGGGCTGTTAAAGGGGTTTTGGGGCTGTTAAAGGGGTTTGGGGGGCTGCTGGCCCGCCTCCAGGTGAGGGCGCTACTAACCGGGTTTTGGGGCTACTAACGGGGTTTTGGGTCTGTTAAACGGGTTTTGGGGTCTGTTAAACGGGTTTTGGGGCTGTTAAAGGGGTTTGGGGGGTATTAAAGGGGTTTGGGGGCTGTTAAAGGGGGTTTGGGGGCTATTAAAGGGGTTTGGGGGCTGTTAACGGGGTTTGGGGGGCTGCTGGCCCGCCTCCAGGTGAGGGCGCTACTAACCGGGTTTTGGGGCTACTAACGGGGTTTTGGGGCTGTTAAAGGGGTTTTGGGTCTGTTAAAGGGGTTTTGGGGGGTATTAGAGGGGTTTTGGGGTATTAAAGGGGTTTTGGGGGTATTAAAGGGGTTTTGGGGGGTATTAAAGGGGTTTTGGGGGGTATTAAAGGGGTTTGGGGCTGTTAAAGGGGTTTGGGGGGCTGCTGGCCTGCCTCCAGGTGAGGGCGCTACTAACCGGGTTTTGGGGCTACTAACGGGGTTTTGGGTCTGTTTTGGGTCTGTTAAAGGGGTTTTGGGGGGTACTAAAGGGGTTTTGGGGGGTGTTAAAGGGGTTTGGGGGGGATTAAAGGGGTTTGGGGCTGTTAAAGGGGTTTGGGGGGCTGCTGGCCCGCCTCCAGGTGAGGGCGCTACTAACCGGGTTTGGGGTCTGTTAACCGGGTTTTGGGTCTGTTAAACGGGTTTTGGGTCTGTTAAACGGGTTTTGGGTCTGTTAAAGGGGTTTTGGGTCTGTTAAAGGGGTTTTGGGGGGTGTTAAAGGGGTTTGGGGCTGTTAAAGGGGTTTGGGGGGCTGCTGGCCCGCCTCAAGGTGAGGGCGCTACTAACGGGGTTTTGGGGTCTGTTAACGGGGTTTTGGGGCTTTTAAACGGGTTTTGGGGCTGTTAAACGGGGTTTGGGGCTGTTAAAGGGGTTTTGGGGCTGTTAAAGGGGTTTGGGGGGCTGCTGGCCCGCCTCCAGGTGAGGGCGCTACTAACCGGGTTTTGGGTCTGTTAACGGGGTTTTGGGGTTACTAACCGGGTTTTGGGGTCTGTTAAAGGGGTTTTGGGTCTGTTAAAGGGGTTTTGGGGGGTATTAAAGGGGTTTTGGGGGTATTAAAGGGGTTTTGGGGGGTGTTAAAGGGGTTTTTGCGCTGTTAAAGGGGTTTGGGGGGCTGCTGGCCCGCCTCCAGGTGAGGGCGCTACTAACCGGGTTTGGGGGCTACTAACGGGGTTTTGGGGCTGTTAAAGGGGTTTTGGGGCTGTTAAACGGGTTTTGGGTCTGTTAAAGGGGTTTGGGGGGTATTAAAGGGGTTTGGGGGCTGTTAAAGGGGTTTTGGGGGGTATTAAAGGGGTTTGGGGGGTATTAAAGGGGTTTGGGGCTGTTAAAGGGGTTTGGGGGGCTGCTGGCCCGCCTCCAGGTGAGGGCGCTACTAACCGGGTTTTGGGGCTACTAACGGGGTTTTGGGGCTGTTAAAGGGGTTTTGGGGCTGTTAAACGGGGTTTGGGGTCTGTTAAAGGGGTTTTGGGGGGTGTTAAAGGGGTTTGGGGTCTGTTAAAGGGGTTTGGGGCTGTTAAAGGGGTTTGGGGGGCTGCTGGCCCGCCTCCAGGTGAGGGCGCTGCTAACCGGGTTTTGGGGCTACTAACGGGGTTTTGGGGCTGTTAAAGGGGTTTTGGGGTCTGTTAAAGGGGTTTGGGGGGGTGTTAAAGGGGTTTTGGGTGGTGTTAAAGGGGTTTTGGGGGGTATTAAAGGGGTTTGGGGCTGTTAAAGGGGTTTGGGGGGCTGCTGGCCCGCCTCCAGGTGAGGGCGCTACTAACCGGGTTTTGGGTCTGTTAACGGGGTTTTGGGTCTGTTAAAGGGGTTTTGGGGGCTGTTAAAGGGGTTTTGGGGGCTGTTAACGGGGTTTTGGGTGGTGTTAAAGGGGTTTTGGGGGTATTAAAGGGGTTTGGGGGCTGTTAAAGGGGTTTGGGGGGCTGCTGGCCCGCCTCCAGGTGAGGGCGCTACTAACCGGGTTTTGGGGTTACTAACGGGGTTTTGGGGTCTGTTAAAGGGGTTTTGGGGCTGTTAAAGGGGTTTTGAGGTCTGTTAAAGGGGTTTGGGGGCTATTAAAGGGGTTTGGGGCTGTTAAAGGGGTTTGGGGCTGTTAAAGGGGTTTTGGGGTTACTAACCGGGTTTTGGGGTCTGTTAAAGGGGTTTTGGGGCTGTTAAAGGGGTTTTGGGGGGTATTAAAGGGGTTTTGGGGCTGTTAAAGGGGTTTTGGGGCTGTTAAAGGGGTTTGGGGGGCTGCTGGCCCGCCTCCAGGTGAGGGCGCTACTAACCGGGTTTTGGGTCTGTTAACGGGGTTTTGGGGTTACTAACGGGGTTTTGGGGCTACTAACCGGGTTTTGGGGTCTGTTAAACGGGTTTTGGGGCTGTTAAAGGGGTTTTGGGGGGTATTAAAGGGGTTTTGGGGCTGTTAAAGGGGTTTGGGGGCTGTTAAACGGGTTTGGGGGGCTGCTGGCCCGCCTCCAGGTGAGGGCGCTACTAACCGGGTTTTGGGGCTACTAACGGGGTTTTGGGGCTGTTAAAGGGGTTTTGGGTCTGTTAAAGGGGTTTTAGGGGGTATTAAAGGGGTTTGGGGCTGTTAAAGGGGTTTTGGAGGCTCTTAAAGGGGTTTGGGGGCTGTTAAAGGGGTTTGGGGGCTATTAAAGGGGTTTGGGGGCTGTTTTATGGGGTTTTGGGTCTCTTAAGGGGGTTGGGGTCTGTTAAGGGGGTTTCAGGTCTATTAAGGGGGTTTTAGGTCTATTAAGAGGGTTTGGGGTCTATTAAAGGGGTTTTGGGGTCTTTTAAAGGGGTTTTGGGGCTATTAAGGGGTTTTTGGGGCTATTAAGTGGGTTTGGGGGCTTTTAAAGGGGTTTCGGGTCTATTAAGGGGGTTTGGGGTCTATTGAAGGGGTTTGGGGGCTGTTAATGGGGTTATGGGGTCTATTGTAGGGGTTATGGGGTCTATAAAAGGGGTTTTGGGGTCTATTAAAGGGGTTTTGGGTCTTTTAAAGGGGTTTTCAGGTCTATTAAGTGGGTTTTGGGGCTATTAAAGGGGTTTTGTGGCTATTAAGGGGGATTCGGGTCTATTAAAGGGGTTTTGGGTCTCTTAAGGGTGTTGGGGTCTGTTAAGGGGGTTTTGGGTCTATTAAGGAGGTTTTAGGTCTATTAAGGGGGTTTTGGGGCTATTAAAGGGGTTTTGGGGTCTATTAAAGGGGGTTTTGGGGTCTATTAAGGGGGTTGGGGTCTATTAACGGGGTTTCCCCCCCCAGGCCATCACCCCGAAGCTGTTGGCGTCAGGGGAGGCGACCCCCGAAGATCTCTGCTTCTCCCTGCAGGTGACTATTATGGGATGGGGGGTCCTCTTAACGGGGTTTGGGGTCTGTTAAGGGGGTTTGGGGTCTATTAAAGGGGTTTGGCGTCTCTTTACAGGGTTCTGGGGGGTATTAAGGGGGTTTTGGGTCTATTAAAGGAGTTTGGGGTCTATTAAGAGGGTTTGGGGTCTATTATCCATGTTTTGGGTCTATTAACCGGGTTTGGGGGTCTATTATCGGGGTTTTTGGTCTAATAATGGGGTTTTGGTTCTATTAAAGGGGTTGGGGGTCTATTATCCCGGTTTGGGGTCTATTAACCAGGTTTTGTGTCTATTAAAGGGGTTTTGGGTTTATTAAGGGGGTTTTCGGTCTATTATCCTGGTTTTGGGTCTATTATCAGGGTTTGGGTCTATTAAGGGAGTTTTGGGGTCTATTAAGGGGGTTTTGGACTCTATTAACTGGGTTTTGGGTCTATTAACTGGGTTTTGGGGTCTATTAACAGGGTTTTGTGTCTATTAACCGGGTTTTGGGTTTATTAACCGGTTTTTGGGTCTATTAAAGGGGTTTTGGGGTCCATTAACCGGGTTTTGGGTCTATTAAAGGGGTTTTGGGGTCCATTAACCGGGTTTTGGGTCTATTAAAGGGGTTTTGGGGTCCATTAACCGGGTTTTGGGTCCATTAACCGGGTTTTGGGGTCTATTAAAGGGGTTTTGGGGTCTATTAACAGGGTTTTGTATCTATTAACCGGGTTTTGGGTCTATTAAAGGGGGTTTGGGTCCATTAACCGGGTTTGGGGGTCTATTAACCAGGTTTTGGGGTCTATTAACCGGGTTTTGGGTCTATTAACCGGGTTTTGGGGTCTATTAAAGGGGTTTTGGGTCCATTAAAGGGGTTTTGGGTCCCATTAACCGGGTTTTGGGTCTATTAACCGGGTTTTGGGTCTATTAAAGGGTTTTTGGGTCTATTAACCGGGTTTTGGGTCTATTAAAGGGGTTTTGGGGTCTATTAAGTGGGTTTGGGGTCCATTAACTGGGTTTTGGGTCTATTAACCGGGTCGGGGGGGGGGGGGGTGTGTGTGTGTCTATTAAAGGGGTTTTGGGGTCCATTACAGGGTTTTGGGTCTATTAACCGGGTTTTGGGTCCATTAAAGGGGTTTTGGGGTCTATTAACCGGGTTTTGGGTCTATAACCGGGTTTTGGGTCTATTAAAGGGGTTTTGGGTCTATTAACCGGGTTTTGGGTCTATTAAAGGGTTTTTGGGGTCCATTAACCGGGTTTTGGGTCTATTAACTGGGTTTTGGGTCCATTAAAGGGGTTTTCGGTCTATTAAAGGGGTTTTGGGTCTATTAACCGGGTTTTGGGTCCATTAACCGGGTTTTGGGTCCATTAACCGGGTTTTGGGTCTATTAAAGGGGTTTTGGGGTCTATTAACCGGGTTTTGGGTCTATTAACTGGGTTTTGGGTCTATTAACTGGGTTTTGGGGTCTATTAACAGGGTTTTGTGTCTATTAAAGGGGTTTTGGGTCTATTAACCGGGATTTGGGTCTATTACAGGGGTTTTGGGGTCTATTAACCGGGTTTTGGGGTCTATTAAAGGGGTTTTGGGTCCATTAACCAGGTTTTGGGTCTATTAAAGGGGTTTTGGGGTCTATTAAAGGGGTTTTGGGTCCATTAACCGGGTTTTGGGTCTATTAAAGGTGTTTTGGGGTCTATTAACCGGGTTTTGGTTCTAATAACCGGGTTTTGTGTCTATTAAAGGGGTTTTGGGTCTATTAAAGGGGTTTTGGGTCTATTAACCGGGTTTTGCGGTCTATTAAAGGGGTTTTGGGTTCATTAACCGGGTTTTGGGTCTATTAACCGGGTTTTGCGTCTATTAAGTCAGTTTTGGGGTCCATTAACTGGGTTTTGGGGTCCCTTAACTGGGTTTTGGGTTCTATTAAAGGGGTTTTGGGTCTATTAACCGGGTTTTGGGGGTCTATAAACCGGGTTTTGGGTCTATTAGAGGAGTTTTGGGGTCTATTAAAGGGGTTTTGGGGTCTATTAAAGGGGTTTTGGGTCTATTAACCGGGTTTTGGGGGTCTATTAACCGGGTTTTGGGTCTATTAGAGGGGTTTTGGGGTCTATTAAAGGGGTTTTGGGTCTATTAAAGGGGTTTGGGGTCCATTAACCGGGTTTTGGGTCCATTAAAGGGGTTTTGGGTCCATTAACCGGGTTTTGGGTCTATTAACCGGGTTTTGGGGTCTATTAACCGGGTTTTGGGTCTATTAACCGGGTTTTGGTTCTAATAACCGGGTTTTGGGTCTATTAAAGGGGTTTTGGGGTCCATTAACTGGGTTTTGGGTCTATTAACCAGGTTTTGGGTCTATTAACCGGGTTTTGGGTCTGTTAAAGGGGTTTTGGGTCTATTAACCGGGTTTTGGGTCCATTAACCGGGTTTTGGGTCTATTAAAGGGGGTTTGGGTCCATTAACAGGGTTTGGGGTCTATTAAAGGGGTTTTGGGTCTATTAACCGGGTTTTGGGTCTATTAACCGGGTTTTGGGTCTATTAAAGGGGGTTTGGGTCCATTAACCGGGTTTGGGGTCTATTAACCGGGTTTTGGGTCTATTAACCAGGTTTTGGGGTCTATTAACCGGGTTTTGGGTCTATTAAAGGGGTTTTGGGTCTATTAACCGGGTTTTGGGGTCTATTAAAGGGGTTTTGGGTCCATTAACCGGGTTTTGGGTCTATTAACCGGGTTTTGTGTCCATTAACCGGGTTTTGGGTCTATTAAAGGGGTTTTGGGGTCCATTAACCGGGTTTTGGGTCTATTAACCGGGTTTTGGGTCTATTAACGGGGTTTTGGCTCCATTAACCGGGTTTTGGGTCTATTAAAGGGGTTTTGGGTCTATTAAAGGGGTTTTGGGTCTATTATCCGGGTTTTGGGGTCTATTAACCGGGTTTTGGGGTCTATTAACCGGGTTTTGGGTCTATTAAAGGGGTTTTGGGTCTATTAACCGGGTTTTGGGGTCTATTAAAGGGGTTTTGGGTCCATTAACCGGGTTTTGGGTCTATTAACCGGGTTTTGTGTCCATTAACCGGGTTTTGGGTCTATTAAAGGGGTTTTGGGGTCCATTAACCGGGTTTTGGGTCTATTAACCGGGTTTTGGGTCTATTAACGGGGTTTTGGCTCCATTAACCGGGTTTTGGGTCTATTAAAGGGGTTTTGGGTCTATTAAAGGGGTTTTGGGTCTATTATCCGGGTTTTGGGGTCTATTAACCGGGTTTTGGGGTCTATTAACCGGGTTTTGGGTCTATTATCCGGGTCGGGGGGGGTGGGGGGGGGGTGTCTATTAACCGGGTTTTGGGTCTATTAAAGGGGTTTTGGGTCTATTAACCGGGTTTTGTGTCCATTAACCGGGTTTTGGGGTCTATTAAAGGGGTTTTGGCTCCATTAACCGGGTTTTGGGTCTATTAAAGGGGTTTTGTGTCTGTTATCCGGGTCGGGGGTTTTGGGGTCCATTAACCGGGTTTTGCGTCTATTAAAGGGGTTTTGGGTCTATTAACCGGGTCGGGGGGGGGGGGGGAGGGGGGTCTATTAACCGGGTTTTGGGTCCATTAAAGGGGTTTTGGGTCTATTAAAGGGGTTTTGGGGTCTATTAACCGGGTTTTGGTTCTAATAACCGGGTTTTGGGTCCATTAACCGGGTTTTGGGTCTATTAAAGGGGTTTTGGGGTCTATTGACTGGATTTGGGTTCTATTAACCGGGTTTTGTGTCTATTAAAGGGGTTTTGGGTCTATTAAAGGTGTTTTGGGGTCTATTAACCGTGTTTTGGGTCTATTAACGGGGTTTTGGGTCTATTAAAGGGGTTTTGGGGTCCATTAACCGGGTTTTGTGTTTATTAACCGGGTTTTGGGTCTATTAACCGGGTTTTGTGTCTATTATCCGGGTCGGGGGGGGGGGGGTGTCTCTTAACCGGGTTCTCCCCGCAGGAGACGGCGTTCGCCATGTTGGCCGAGGTCACCGAGAGGGCACTGGCGCTCACGCGGGCCCCACACCTGCTGCTCGTGGGGGGCGTGGCCTGTGGGTCACGTGGGGCAACCCGGGGGGGCGTGGCCTCGGGGTTGGAGGGAAAGGGGGGGGATAAGGGGGGCGTCTATGGGGCTGGGACCCACATCTATGGGGCTGGGACCCATATATAGGGGCTGGGATCCACATCTATGGGGCTGGGACCCACATCTATGGGGCTGGGATCCATATATAGGGGGTGGGACCCACATCTATGGGGCTGGGAGTCACATCTATGGGGCTGGTATTGATATATAGGGGCTGGGAGCCACATCTATGGGGCTGGGATCCACATCTATGGGGCTGGGAGCCACATCTATGGGGCTGGGACACATATATAGGGGGTGGGACCCACATCTATGGGGCTGGGATCCATATATAGGGGCTGGGAGCCACATCTATGGGGCTGGGATTGATATATAGGGTCTGGGACCCACATCTATAGGGATGGGATCGATATATAGGTGCTGGGAGCCACATCTATGGGGCTGGGACCCACATCTATGGGGCTGGGACCCACATCTATGGGGCTGGGACCCATATATAGGGGTTGGGACCCACATCTATAGGGATGGGATCCACATCTACGGTGGTGGGACCGACATCTATGGGGCTGGGACCCACATCTATGGTGCTGGGACCGACATCTATGGGGCTGGGACCCACATCTATGGGGCTGGGATCCACATCTATGGGGCTGGGACCCACATCTATGGGGCTGGGATCCACATCTATGGGGCTGGGACCCACATCTATGGGGCTGGGATCCACATCTATGGTGCTGGGACCGACATCTATGGGGCTGGGATCAATATATAGGTGCTGGGACCCACATCTATGGGGCTCGGACCCACATCTGTGGGGCTGGGAGCCACATCTATGGGGCTGGGATTGATATACAGGAGTTGGGATCCACATCTATGGGGCTGGGACCCACATCTATGGGGCTGGGATCCATATATAGGGGCTGGGACCCACATCTATGGGGCTGGGACCCACATCTATGGGGCTGGGACCCACATCTATGGGGCTGGGATCCATATATAGGGGGCTGGGACTGACATCTATGGGGCTGGGGTCCATATATAGGGGCTGGGACCCATATATAAGGGGTGAGACCCACATCTATGGGGCTGGGATCCATATATAGGGGCTTAGACCCGCATCTATGGGGCTGGGACCCATATATGGAGGGCTGGGACCTATAGATATGGTGCTGGGATCCATTCATATGGGGTCAGACACGCATCTATG